GGGGAGTCTGCTTCTCCCTCTGACCCTCCCCCCTCTCGTGCTCTCTCTATCTCATTCTCTCTCTCAAATAAATAAAATCTTTAGAAAAAAAAATAGATCTAATAAGGGATTGTAAATCATTTTACCACCTACCTCAGGAAAGATTTAAAATACAGTGAACATGCAAGGTTAAATTAATGCTTTCTCTGAGAGACAATGTATAATTGCCCCTTACACGTTTTTAAAATTCCTGAGAGTTTTCCATTTAGCACTTGAAGTTATCTTGTGTGTCAACATGCAGTGTTTCCCCAGATTGGTGTTTCTTCAACTGGGGATGCCGGTGTTAGCTCCCCAGTTTGCCGCAGCTGTTTGGGGAACAGTAATTCAGAGTTTCACAAAATTAATGGCAGTTATGAAAATCCGTAAGCATTTTAATTTTACTTCTCCATCCTGTGAAATTAGGTTATTTTATTTTTAAAATAAGCTTTTTATTGAAGTATAACACACATTCATAAAAGGGCACAAATCTTATGAATTTTCATAACCCTGGTAACCACGTCGTTCTATTTTTGTTGTATTGTCTTTGACAAAATTTCACAATCCTACGTAAGAAAGTACATTTTTGTTCAGGGTTCTGCGGTCTCCAGAAGTTACACTCAAGATATTTTGTACTTTTTGTTCTCATAATTGCATTAAGTCTTTGAGTTTTTACATTTTTCTAGGAGCTCTAAAGTTTCATTCAGAATATTGTCATTATTCTTAGTTCAGGGTAGGAAAATTGGCCCTTACAGATTAAAGATGCAAAATAATAACTGCAAAGTTATTGACATCTAGCCTCTGCAGATTTCATTTTTCTTTCATTCCCACCTGTGGCAGTGCTTTGCCCCAGTCGGCTGGTTGTGTGGAACTTGATTCCTGGGCCTCCGCATATGATACAGCTTAGGTTGCTAATCTAAGAAGAAGCAGATCAGCAGCCAGTGGTAAGTGTGTCAGGCCTAGAAACCCTAGACTGAGCTGGGAGGAACTTTAGAGGTCATTAGCCTACAATGGGGAAACTGAGTCTTGGAAGGTTACATGCCTTGCCCAGGGTCGCAGACTTGGCACCAGAGCTGGATCTAGAATCCTGGTCCTAAACCCCATTATAAACCATGCTAAGCCCCTATTCTCGTCTTTAAGCTCACCCTTTGTACTAAAAATTCAACCCTCAGACTGTGAAATCGACTTCTCCAGAAAGATAAATAACCTAGCACGTTTTTCAGCCAAACTTCTTAACGGGGATGACCTAACAGCATCGACCTGCTTTGGAAAATACCCCTTGGGTTACTTCGGGTGAGTGAGGGATGGTGTGGGGATAGTATAAATGCCAGTCTGTAATTGTTTAGAGCAGTTCTGGGAGTGCATTCAACTGGAATAACCCTGGCAATAGGGAAAGTGTGGCGTGATGTCGACTTGTGACCCTTCCCTGGGGAGTGAGCTATGTCAGGAGACATGGCAGTGCTTCTGGACTACGGTCGCTTGTCTGTTCCTGGGCACTGGACAGGGGGACAGGCTGCGGTGCCTGGGAAGTGACCATCGATGTGTTATGACTTTTTGTTTTTGAGATTTTGTTTCAGTTGACTAAAGGTAGATCAGTAAATAAAGCCTCTCTTTGATTTTCCAAGGGAGGCCAGACAACATATATTTCGTAAGTGTTGTTCACTGTGGTGGGCCCTGGGGACTTAGGGCTTAATAAAACATGTCTGTAAGGACTGAAGTCTATGGGGCTGGCAGTTCCAAGGAGAGGTCACCACTGCCCTCCAGAAATCTTGGTTCTGTTGGTATGCTGGATTCACGACATGCGTAGGGTCTCATCAGAGCCTACTGACTTTTGTCTGCCTGCCTGTTTATCAGAAAGCATACCTCCTCAGGCCCACCTGCAGCCATCCTTGGCCTGAGCTTCAGTGCTGTCCACAGTCCCATCCACCAGCCCCATTCTGACCTTTCTCACTTGGTTCCCAGAGGGCACGGCTTCCTCAGAGGCCAGGCTGATTGTTCCGTGCCCGAATATCTATGGCTGTCCTTACTTTTTTGAGCTTTTGAGCATGTTTTCACCTGTTTAGATTGCCCCCTCCTCCCCTTCTTCTTCAAATCCTGCCCAGCCTTCCAGGCCCAACCTAATTCCCACCTTCTCTTGTCGGAGCTCCTGTGGCACCTCTCCCCCTCCCCCACTGTGGGTGACAGCCATGGCTCAGCCTGCTGGGGAAGAGAATGGGCTCTGGAGGCTGTGTCACCTGGGGCTGGAGCCTTTCCTGAATCTAGACCTCTTCATCTGTAAGAACGGGAGTAACCAATTGTCCTTGGCCCACAGTTGGGCGGACTAAATGAGTTCATACCATTAAAGCCTGTGGAGCAAACAGTACGTGGCCTGTAAGTTCTCATTAAGTATTAGTTGTTATTCCTTCTCACATGTATTCAATCCGGTCTTCCTTGTGCTACTGTCTCACCACTTTAAGTCGCCATTTGTGGGCCTCTAGTGAAATTATAAAGCCCTCTCATGAAGAGAGTCTGGATCTTATACTTTCTCTTGACCCTTTTCAGTCCTACCTGCGCATATAATAACTCCCCAAAACATAGCGCTTAAAATGGAGCTGTTACTGTCTTAAAAGAAAACAGATGGAACAGAGGTTAAGGAACTGAACAGAAAAGATAGGCTTCAGTTCACAGATGGAGTTTTCTTACGATTCTCAGAGCGTGTCATTTGTTCCTGTTTGCACTGTTGTTGAGTCGAATGAGCTCTTCTGTCACAGTCACTAGAGGTGTGAACATCGTGTAGCAAGGATGCTAGCAGTTTCCGAGGCTGCCTTAGACATGCTTCTTCTCTGGGCCCGCGGCGGAAGGGAATCTTGAGACGGTAAACTCTGGTGTATCAGGATACCTCAGAGCCAGTGGGCCATGAGCGGGCCGTTGCTAATACAGCTCCCTTGCTGAGGGGCGTAGGAGAGTCACCGGGGTGGGGGTGTGTGTGTGTGTTGGGGTTCCCACACCTTCAGCCACCCTCTCTCTGCTTGTCCCTCCCCCTTAATTAGCAGCTCAGGAATTCACAAGCACCTCGGCTCACAACATGTGGAGGAAATCAGGTCACTCTCTGGCGGTGGGAAGAGGTGGGGACCCAGGCTGAAAGAAGCACTCAGTGAAAAGCCAGTTGCAGACGGGAGGGAGTCGTGGTGTTGAACGCCGGAGCTGCCGGAGGGGTCTTTTGCCACCCGCCCCTCCTCCGCAACCGGCGAGTCTGGGACTTCAGCCAGGGTCTCCCGCAGAGCCCTGTGGGTGTCCTTCCCCTGATGATGAGAATGCCACATTTCTCCTTCTCCTAGGCTGGAACAAGACATTAAAAAGTTAAAGGCTGACCTGCAGGCCAGCAGACAAGTGGAACAGGAGCTCCGCAGTCAGATCAGCTCCCTCTCCAGCACCGAGCGGGGGATCCGCTCTGAAATGGGCCAGCTCCGGCAGGAGAACGAGCTGCTGCAGAACAAGTACGTGCACCTTGTGGGCCTTTGGTCGCGAGCCGAGCGACCGCACTGTTCCTGTGGCTTCCAGGGACTGGAGCAAAAGATGTGTGATGACAAAGGGACCTGGCAGAGGGGGTTTTAAATGAAATGTTTAAAATCTTTAATGTAGTACCAGATATTCAACATGTTACAAAATCTATAAAAACTTGTTTCATCGCAACAGAACAGTTTATTAATATTACTGTTCTTTCTTTTTTCATTTATTAAGTTCTTCTCTTAGTTTAAAATAGTCATTGAGCTTTTGTGATACTATAAGTAAAACTGACGAGCAGTCGTTCTGCCACAATTTGAAAATCTTGCTCCTTTGAATGAAAGTTTCCAGAGGAAAAGACTCTATTTATTCATATCTGGAACTAAAAAATGACATTGAACTTTGATTTTATTTGAAGAGGCAAGCCAAAAGCCAGCTCTTCTGTGTGAATTTGTTTATGCTTCCCATTGATTCATCCTGGAATTACTTCTTGACTCAATAGTGATCTTTTTTTTTTTTAATCTCTCAGCAGTGTGCGTGCCTGGGGTAATGATTACTGTGATAGGCTCTGGGCTTTCCCCATTGAAAGAGGAATCGTTCAACATTCTTGAGGAACACAACTCAAAGCTAGAGCATTATAAGCACGTAACTTCTCCATTGCTTCTGACCCATATACCTAATGGCTCACGCTGACAGAGGGCATCTCACCTTACGCTGATAGTCTGAGATGAACTCACCTTGTACTGATATAGAGAGCTGGGGGTGGTAGTAGGCAGGGAAGGGAATATGGCTGAAATTTCTATCTGAGATTAAGCACCCTGTGACTCTAACTCCGGGGTCTATTTTGGGATACTTTGAGAAAACGTCTCACAGCTGGAAAAGGAAAGGCTGCAGCATGATAGTATTCAGGCAGAGAAAAACCTTCCCCATCCCACCCTTTACCTTGGCTTCTGTGGGGCTGGTTCCATCAGTAGTTCTTTGATCAACTCCGGTTCTCTCCCGGTGCTTTGGGGCACAACTAGAATTAGTTGTACAGCTGTCTTTCACTCTGTTAGAAACTTGTTTTATCCTTTTTCCTGGATTGCCTTCTGTAGATCGCTTACCGTAGTAGGGCAAAGGCTAGGTCTTATTCTGTATGTTGTTAGGCAGCTTGTTTGTTGGTGTTTAGAAATTGTTAAAGAATAATGACAATGTGTTTTTCCCGGGCACTCTGGAAGCTGACATTTATGATTTGCTGTTCAAAAGAGGAGCCACGTTTCTCCAGGGTTTCTAGTGGGCATTTCTAATGATGAAACTCTGTATGATAATCATTTCCATATAGATTACATAATGCTGTGCAAATGAAGCAAAAAGACAAACAAAATATCAGCCAGTTGGAGAAAAAGCTAAAAGCTGAGCAGGAAGCCCGAAGTTTTGTAGAAAAGCAATTAATGGAGGAGAAAAAAAGGAAGAAGTTGGAAGAAGCTACTGCTGCCCGGGCCGTTGCATTTGCTGCCGCGTCTAGGTATGTCCGTGCCACTCCCCCCACCCCGACCCCCCACCCCGCTCCCGGCGCTGCATCTGAGGTGGGCCTGCCTTGCACCAAGACCCAAGACCAGCATGGGAGTTTGAGGCCTCAGGCAGCGTTGAAATACAACCATCACGCACTGATAGGTTGCCACCAAGTACTGTTTCCTGAGATGGCCAAGGCCCATCCATACAACTTGCGCAGTCTTGTAACAGCTTCATCCCTCAGTGACCTCATCTAGGGAGTGGGATGTGGGCGTCACCATGCCTCCCACTCCCAGGAGGCAAAGTGCTGCTCGTAAAAGGGTTTCCGGTCACTTTCTGTGTGGCCAACAACTACTAAACACTTGGAGAGATTCCAGTCTGGAATTTCGTGCCCTTTATTTATTTATTTTTTTAAAGATTTATTTATTTATTTGAGAGAGCGAGAATGAGAGAGAGAGAGAGTACATGAGAGGGGGGAGGGTTAGAGGGAGAAGCAGGCTCCTCGCCGAGCAGGGAGCCCGATGCGGGACTCGATCCAGGGACTCCAGGATCATGACCTGAGCCGAAGGCAGCCGCTTAACCAACTGAGCCACCCAGGCGCCCCTCGTGCCCTTTATAGAACTGTCATTACTCTCTGCTCTCAGGTATATGTGTTTCTGAAGTTTTTATCTTAAAATAGAAGAAAGGAAAATCTTGGTTGCCCAAGTCCTTTGTATTGACTGACTGACTGCTCCTGTCTTTGTCAGGTATCAGCAAACTCACATGAGCTGGAAAAGATGAAAAAAACAAAACCATAAGTCATTATTAGGTATCATTGAATTTGTGGAGGGTTGAGAATTGGGGACTACTTCTATACTATTGAAAAGTATTCAAGTATTCCAGAAACTGAATTCCAGCCAGGAGGGAAGAGCCTTAAGAGCCTTCACTTTATGGCTTTTTCTTTTCTTTGTTTTTTTTTGTTTTTTTTTTTTGACTAGCAAAGTCCATCTGCGTGGCGGGGGTCAGTTATGGGTTTAGAGTTGCAGGGTGAGGATACATTATGATTGATTTCATTTTAAATTTTTATCGTAATTTGTATTGATATAATTCTTTTTTAAAAAATATTTTATTTATTTATTTGAGAGAGAGAGCACATGAGCAGAGGGAGAAGCAGGCTCCCCGCTGAGCAGGGAGCCCAATGTGGGACTCGATCCCAGGACCTTGGGATCAGGACCCGAGCCGAAGGCAGACGCTTAACCAACTGAGCCACCCAGGCACCCTCGATATAGTATAATTCTACTGTAATTCTTCCTTAAGTTTTTCTTTTTTGTATGTGGCATGTTAAAAGCCTTCTTTTGGGTTCTGGCATTGGTAGAAGAACTGATGGATCATCATTTCACGTTTAAGGAAATAATAGCCAGAGAGAACTCTTTCCTCCTCTGGGCTCCTGCCTCCCCCAGCCAACTCTATAGTGCAGATGGCTGAGCTCACTTGGCCCATCAGCATCCAGACGGACTCACAAGACACCTCACTAGCCTGCCTAGGATGTGGGGGTTTTGTTTGTTCATTCGTTTAAAGATTTGTAAGCACAGACCTCTGTAAAAAGTACACGTTTCTGGGCGCCTGGGTGGCTCAGATGGTTGGGCGTCTGCCTTCGGCTCAGGTCATGATCCCGGGGTCCCAGGATCGAGTCCCGCATCGGGCTCCCTGCTCTGCGGGGAGCCTGCTTCTCCCTCTGCCTCTCTCTCTCTCTCTGTCTGTCATGAATAAATAAATAAAATCTTTAAAAAAAAAAAAAAAAGTACACGTTTCTGAAGCACTTAGGCTTGCAGGAGATTTTTCTGAACAGTCATTCATGTGGCCTGTGCTGTCCTTAATTCATCCAGCACCTCCTACCCTGAAAAAAGTCCCCTGAGGAGGATATGACAGTTCCTTAACCGTATTGTTCAGTATCTTATGCTTGAGAATCAGTACATTGGTTTTAATCTCTTCCCTGACTCCCTTTTGCTTCCAGTCAAGCTTATTTGTTTTGATCTTATCCTTTGACGGTCCTCGTTTACCATCACTTAGGTAGAGGCTGTTTTTATTCTCAAGTAAATCTCAAGGTGTAAGTCCCTCACTGGACCTTCCTTTTTGGTAGGCAGAAGACACCTACCTTCTCCATCTGGCTGTTTCTGAAACCTAAACGGTTAATCAGCTTTGGACTGGCTATTGCCATCATCTTTTTTAGTTTGTTCTTCTTACAGCCCTGAGAAGCAACCTAACGCTCTGGCAACTTCATGACTCAAGAAAGTGAACTTTCCAAAGCATAGACCCTCAAAAGTGAAAAATTTTTTAGCTCACTGCCCCCTGCTGGAGATAGTACACATCCAGTTTCTTGCTCAGCTCCCGGGTTCTGTCTCAGGTCATGTGGCCTGGGGGGAGCTTGCTGCATTGGGAAGCTGGAAAGCCTCCGTTCTTATCCCTGGAGTTCTGTGACCTACCAGCTAGGTGAGGTTGGACTGGTATTATATCTGTGTAGTCTTAGTTTTCTTCTCTGGAAAATGGGACAATGTATCCTACCCTTGCAAAGAAGGCAGAATGGGTAAAGTACCTCACGTGGTGCCTGGTTCATATTAGATACCCAATTAATTGTCTCAGATCATTGTTGAAATTGTCAAAGAACAGAGAATGAGTAGACTGAGCCAAAAGCTAAAACCGGACAGACTCTGGAGTATAAGAGAAATACCAGTCTTGCAGCATAAGTAAACCTCTAGTCTTTTAAATCCTTTTCTTTCCTTCTCTTCTTTTGCAAAAGGGGGGAGTGCACCGAAACCTTACGGAATCGGATCAGAGAATTAGAAGCAGAGGGCAAGAAGCTCACGATGGACATGAAGGTGAAAGAAGACCAGATCAGAGAACTAGAACTGAAAGTTCAGGTATGGGGAGCACAAAAAACTTTCTCCTACTTGGATTCTCCTTCTTTGTTAGCTGTGTGCTCAGTGTTGCAATGTGGAGATGGTGCCTTTTTGTTTTATGAAGATTTTATTTTATTTATTTGAGAGAGAGAGAACACGAGTACACAGAGGGAGAGGGAGAAGCAGGCTCCCCACTGAGCAGGGAACCCGACACGGGGCTCGATCCCAGGACCCTGGGATCATGACCTGAGCCGAAGGCAGACGGTTTTGCTTAACCGACTGAGGCACCCAGGAGCCTTGGGATGGTGCCTTTTGATAATAGGCCAAATCCCACTGCATCTGAAAATCTCTGTATGACAAAAAAAAAAGCTCTAGCCTTGTCCAGCTCATTCAAGTAGTATTTAATTAGCCAGATTCTAATACAACCAGAAATGTTGACAGTCTTTTGACACAGTTTATACCGGAATTGGACCTACTGTAGATTCATTTCATTTTTTCAGGTTATAGGCTAGATTAGTGTGCTTTGGAGCTTTTGCATCTCTTCTTAGCCCTAACCCTCTGTCCATCGCCAGGGAATTGACTGTTCTGAATGGCTCTCAGCCTTGTAGATGGCAATTCTGAGCAGTGCATGATGGGGAAAGCGGCCAGTGCTGTGGACACAACCGCTGGGCGGTGTGTATCTTAGCCCGGTATTTGGCATTGGTTCTCCAAAGGGACATTTAAAAGTGATGTCACATACCGTGAAGTTACAGTAATTTGAATCACGTGGAACTGGTAGGGAATTATGGGCAAGTCGGTGGAGTAGGATAGATGCCCTAGAGACAGAGCCTGAAGTCTGCAGTAAAAGTAGCAGCACAAATGGATGGGGAACAGTGAGGACTGGTCAGAAAAAGGCTTCAGAACAGTTAGATAACTAGAAAAAAAGAATAAAATTAGAAGCTCATCTCATGGGGCGCCTGGGTGTCTCAGTTGGTTAAGCGTCTGCCTTCGGCTCAGGTCATGATCCCAGGGTCCTGGGATCAAGCCCCATGTTGGGCTCTCTGCTCAGTGGGGAGCCTGCTTCTCCCTCTCCCTCCTGCTCATGCTCTCTCGCTATCCCTCTCTCAAAGAAATAAATAAATAAATCTTAAAAAAAAAATCTCATCTCATACCATACAAAAAGAAATTTCAGATGGAGTTAAATATAGGCAGAAAAGAAAAGCATTTTATTTTAAACCAGAATTTGATCTTGAAACCAGGAAAGACTTTCTTTTTTTTTTTTTTAAGATTTTATTTATTTATTTGACAGAGAGAGCACAAGCAGGTGATGTAGCAGGCAGAGGGAGAGGGAGAAGCACGCTCCCCGCTGAGCAAGGGAGCCCGATGTGGGGCTTGATCCCAGGATGCTGGGATCATGACCCGAGCCGAAGGCAGTTGCTTAACCAACTGAGCTACCCAGGTGCCCCAACCAGGAAAGACTTTCTAAACAAAAATAATGGAAGAAATCATAAAGCCAAAAAAAAAAAAAGAAAGAAAAAAAATCAGTTGCAGTGAGTACAGATATTGCAACAAATATAAGGAATTAATACTCTTGATATGTAGGTAGCTCATAAAATTTGTTAAGTAAAGCTCAGATATTCAGAAAAATAGGTAAAGAATATGAAAAAATAATTCACAGAAGAAAAATAAATGGCTGATAAGAATATATCCTCATCAATCACCAAAGACCTATAGATTAAAATTAGATATCATTTATCTCCTGTGAAATTTCTGTTTCTTTTTTTTAATTGCAGTAAATTTGGCACACAATGTTACATTAGTTGCAAATGTACAACATAGTAGTTCCACAACTTTGTATGTCATGCTGTGCTCCATGCAAGTCTGTCACCCTACAACCCTATGATGTTACAGTACCGTTGACTCTGTGCCCTATTCTGTACCTTTTATCCCCTTGACTTATTTATTATGTAACTGGAAGCCTGTACCTCCCACTCCCCCTCACCCATTTTGCCCACCCCACCAACTCTCTGTATCTTTGACTCTGTTTCTGCTTTTGTTTGTTTGTTTGTTTGTTCCTTTGTTTTGTTTTGTAGATTCCTCAAATCAGTGAAATCGTATCTTTGTTTTTCTCTGTCTGGCTTATTTCACTTAGCATAGTATCTTCTAGGTCCATCCATGTTGTCACAAATAGCAAGATCTTACTCTTTTTTATGGCTGAGTAATATTCTGTGTGTGTGTGTGTGTGTGTGTGTGTGTTCATCTTCTTTATCCATTCATCTCTCAATGGACACTTAGGTTGCTTCCATATCTTGGTTATTGTAAATAATGCTACAATAGACATAGGGGTGCATATCTCTTTTGGAATTAGTGTTTTTGTTTTCTTTGGGTAAATACCCAGTAGTGGAATTACTGGATCATTTGGTATTTCTACTTCTAATTTTTTGAGGAGCCTCTGTGGCCGCACCAGTTTGCATTCCCACCAGTACTGCACAAGGGTTCCCTTTTCTCCACATCCTCACCAACACTTGTTAGTTCTTGTCTTTTTGATAATAGCCATTCTAACAGGTGTGAGATGATTTTGTGGTTTTGATTTTCATTTTTCTGATTAGTGTTATTGAACATCTTTTCATGTGTTGGCCATCTTATGTCTTCTTTGGGAAAAAATCTGTTCAGATCCTCTGCCCATTTTTAATCAGATTATTTGGGTTTTTTGGTGTTGGGTTGTATAAGTTCTTTATATATTTTGGATATTAATCCTTTGCAGAATATATCATTTGCAAATATCTTCTTCCGTTCGTTAGGTTGCCTTTCCATTTTGCAAAAGTTTTTTATTTTGGTATAGTCCCAGTAGCTTATTTTTGCTTTTGTTTCCCTTATCTCTTGTGAAATTAGCAAAGAGTTTTTAAATAATAATATCAGCCTGGGTGAGGATGAATGAAACAGGCCTCATAATTGCTGGTGGAAATATAACTTTCTGGAAAGGGTCATGTACTTTTTAAGTATTTCCCATTTTACAACTCCTGCTTAAGATAAATATTTAAAAATCTCGTCAATGATTGATACACGAAGATGTTCATCATAATGGTATATAAATGAAAAAAAAAAAACAACCTTAACTAAGAAAGGGAGATTTGTTTCATAAATTATGATACATGTAAGTAGGAATATTATACAGCCATTAAAAATTACATTTCCAAAGAACAGTTGAGATTATATAAGTTTTTTAAAAACTGTATACAAAACTGTCTATAGTATGATTTCATTTATGCTAAAAGATACACATATGCTTATAAAATATTAAAGGGAAATATATAGTTTTTCACAGTGTCAGGATATGGAGTGATTTTCATTTTCTTCCTTGAACTTTAATATATTTCTAAATTCTCTATAATATGTTTGGATTTCTCTCTTAAAAAATTAAAATACCTGTATGTGTATATATATACATATACATATATACACACACACATATATAATATGTATTAAAATATGTATTGAATATATTGCATATTTTGTATATTAAATAAATATATATCATATGTTACATATTATATATAATATAAAATAAATATATGATATATATTAATATATAATATATATTATATATATGGGCTACATTACCAGATGTTTTAAGTGGGTTTATTCTGCAGTATGTCCTGTCAAAATAATGAACACTTTTATAATTTTTAGTGCAGGTTGAGAGTAGAGTTTTGGCAAATTTGATTATAGCAACATTTGCAGCTGGTAGCAAGGAACAAGTTCTTTGTGGTTCTTCTGAATTAGGCTTGTGAGAAAGTGTTTCATTTGGAGACCAGTCCATTTTTACTAGAAACAGCCCAACACAGTCAAATTTATCTACTAAAATATTTTTGTATGTCATATCTTCATATAAATACATCTTGCACTTAGAGGGATCTAAGTGGTGAGGTCTTAACCCATGAAACACCAGGATTCTGTATTCTAGGGGCCAGGTCAGTAATAGCGGGATTTTATTTGTGATTTCAGGCTAATTTGTAGACATCGATGCCCAAACTATCTTGTAACATCTTGCTGCTTTGATGATGTTGATAGGAGCTTCGGAAGTATAAGGAAAACGAGAAGGACACTGAGGTGTTAATGTCAGCCCTCTCGGCCATGCAAGATAAAACACAGCACCTGGAGAACAGTCTGAGTGCAGAGACGAGAATCAAGCTGGACCTGTTCTCTGCACTGGGGGATGCAAAGCGACAGCTCGAGATCGCCCAAGGTAGGAGAGCAGCGGGCTCCAGATGAAGTGGTATGGCTAAGAATGCGCAGGGATGCAGAGAGCAGAGGTCCCTTAGAGCTCAGAACCAAAGGCATTCAGTTTTCTTTTTAAGTGGTTTGAGAAGTGCCCAGCGTTGATATTTAGGAATCATCACATTAATTCATTCTGCAGACATATTTTGAGGTGAGAATATGTCAAGTGCAGGGCATCCAGAGAAGAGTATGAATTTCTGTGCTCAAGGAGCTCACGGTGTTGTTGAAGAAATAGAGAGCTGCAGAGCCACCAAAAGGTGCTGGTGCTGCGGTATGTACAAGGTTGTGGGAACAGAGGGAGAAGCAGAGACCAAGCCCGTGTGGGAGTTCGAGAGGGCTGTTTCCCAGGGGAACTGATGTCTGAGCTGGGTTTTGAATGATGAGCAGGGGTCAGCCCAGTGAAGAAGCAGTGTAGGAGGGTAAGGGGCAGAGAGGCCAGGAAACAGAAGAAACCGCTTGGGCCAGGCCAGGGAAGCTGTGTTCCGAGCCGCAGGTGGCTCCGCGTGGTTACAAACGAGCAGCCTCTAGAGAGCCGGCTGTTCACTCAGCAGGTCTTTCCTGAGGCCTACTGTGTTCCAGGCACTGTGAGGTCCCCCGAGCGGACAGGCAGTCACAAGCAAGCACAGAGCGGAGCAGATGCTGATGGGTGCGGGGATGGAAGTGAAAGTGTCAGGCAGGATGTGTGAGCCTGTCCCCGTGGGGCCGAGGGTTCCACATGGTGGTGGTGGAAGATCCTTTGAACAGGGAGCATTTGAGCAGAGGCCGAAAGTAAGAGAGTGCGTGAGCCATGTCAGTCTGGCGGGGGGGAAAGCACTTCAGGGGGAAGGAGCACCTGGCAGCCGGTGGGGCTGCAGCCTGAGGGATGGGCAGAGTTGTTGGAGTCAGCAAGTCAAGACTGGTGGGAACCACGTTCCGCCAGACTTGGTAGCCCATGGGAGGACTTTACTCTGAGGGACTCGAAAAGCTTTGGAAGGTTTCTGAACAGAGGCATGACACAGTCTGATGAAAAGCAATTTAGATTCTGTCCAAGAATTTGATTAGCCAGCAATAGATTACTGAAAAAATTTTCAAACACTTGGACTTAGTAGAAGGAGAAGAATATTTCAACAGGTACTTAAAGAGCATTTGAAGCATTGTACTAGAAGCTAAAGGGGAGACAAAGATGAATAAGACGCAGTCTAGTGGGGGGATCGACTAGGGCAGTGGGGCTCAAACTTTTTGGTCTTAGGGACCCCTTTACACTGTTAAAGTTATCGAGTTCCCCAAGGTGATTTTTTTCCAAGTGGGTTATATCTATCAATACTTACCTATTAGAAATTAAAAATTTAAAACATTTATTAATTCATCTTTAAAATAACATAATAAACATATAACTCAACATATTTTTATGAAAAATAACTGTATTTTCCAAAGCCAAAAAAATTTGAGAAAAACGGCATTGTTTTACATTGAGCAAATCTCTTTAATTTCTGACTCGGTAGAAGATACTTCAGTTCTCATCTCTGTTTCTACATTCAGTCTGTTGTAATTTTACTTGCATGTTGTTTTTGGAAGACTCCACTTACCCCAGGAGGGAATGAGTGTGAAGAAGGCAAATGATGTGTTAGTATTATCACGAAGCTGGTTTGGACCCTGCGGACCCCGTGAGAATTACTGCACTTGGGCAAGCCAAGCAGAAAGGCCTACTGCCTTTAGGTAGAGGTAGGAGGGCTTGAAAGGCCAGAGCAGAGATCAAGGGTGGCTTCATGAGGGAGGGGACATGGAGTGGGCTTTGAAGGATGAATTCTGAGAACAGAGAGTGGCAGGGAAGAACATTGTTACCTGAGGGAATCGTGTAAGGCAAGGCAAGAAATGCTGGGAATGTCCAGGTGAGCAGTCCAGTGGCTTCCAGCTGGAGGACTTGGGAGATTAGGAGAACCATAAATGAAGCCATACTAGAGAATGTATTCCCTAGATTTTCAGGAGGAAGGGGGTGACGTGTTCTGGCCATCATTTTGGAATAGCAATGTGAAAGATGGATTTGAAGGTGAGATTGGGTGGACGAAGAGGAGCCTGTGAGGAAGCGGTCACTGTCTTTTGTCTAAGAGGTGAGGCTTGGGGGAGGGGGGAGATGGTCCAGGCAGGGAGTGAAGGAAAGTGGAGGCACCCGAGGGGTGTGGGAGGATAAAGTTCCCAGGAGCAAAGGAAAAAAGAGCAGGAAAGATTCGAAGGATAAAAAGAGAGAATGAGTTTGGTTGGAGCTGTTCTGATTTGAAGTGGCTTCCTGACGGCCAGGTGGAAGATTGTCATCAGTCAGTGGGAACTTAGGGTCTAATACCCAGAGAGAGGCCCAAACCCCGGGAGAGGGGAGAAATATAGAAGTTGTGAGAAGCGAACAGAACCATAGGAGTGGCTTGGGTTGGCACAGGGGTAGAGCAAGAAGAAGAGTAGGCTGAGGGTCAGGCGGATTACTGTGGACTCAGGGGAAAGCATTTAAAAAGAAGGTCCCTGGGAATTCTGCTGCTTTCAAGCTGAACTTCTGACCATACACTGGCTTTTTTGCCCTCCTGGCTCAGCTTGCTGAGAAGTAGCCACCCCTCTCTGACTCGTTTCATTGACTTGGATTTGTCCACTTGGAGGAGCTAGCCCCCGAGTGAGGAGCACCTGGTCGCAGGGTAGCCGAGGGGAGTTTGGCTCTCACCAGCACAGCTTCCTTGTCAGCCCAGGAATTCCTATAAAGCGACAAAAAAAGCAAAGAGAACTGCCCTTTCCAGAGCCCTGGGGATGTTTGCATGTTGCTGATTAAAAAAATCAAACTTAAATCTGCCTGGAAAAAAAAAAGATACGGTGGCTCACCTCTCAGATGCTGTTAGGTATTTTATTCATCTGAGGCTTATTTTGTTCAAAGGGAAGGAGGCTATTTGATGCTTACTTGAAGCCGAGGGGACATGAAGGCAGTCAGGGGGCAGTTCCTTTCCATGGCTCTGCTGCCTTCCTCACTACTTCCCTCCACTGTCAAGCTCAGAATATCCTAATAAGGATCCAACTTTGTAATTCAAATCAAACCCCTTGTTGCTTTTCTGCTTCCTACTCTCGATATCATTTGCTTCATCCCAGTTCCAAAATGACTTTCATCTCTCTTACATTCTTTCTAAAAATGTGCCACCGTGCTCTCTTAACATTTCAGATACATTACCGTCTTCTGTAGGAATCAAAATGAGTGCAACTCAAATGCAACCTCTCTCTCTTTTTTTTAAGCATTTAAATTTCTGAGGGGCTACTCCTCTAAGTGTTCTTCCCCGAGTAGACCAGGGAACTTTGTTCAAAGCGTGATGGAAATGACACGGGCTTTGGAACACTGGTGCTGGGTTTAAATCTTGCTCTACCTCTTTGTAACTGAATGACTTTGGGCAAGATACATAACTTGCAGAGCCTCAGCTTTCTACTGGGCTGGGCACTAGGGATCTAGCAGTGAATAAAGATGTAGACACAGTTTCTGCCCTCATGGAGCTCATAGACCACTGGAGAAATGATGGACAGGAGTCATCACCAGAGGAGTAGTTACGAGAGATGGAAGAAGGCCGTACATAGGAGTGAGGACTCTGGAGCCAGACCTCATGGAGCCGGGTCCTGGCTCTGTCATGCAACCTCTCTCTGCCTCAGTTTCCTCATCCATAAAATGGATGATGATGATGATAATTCCCATGTCACAGGGTCATTGTGCTGAATAAACAAGTCTACGTAAACACTTAGAACGGGACCTGGCTTCATGCGTGTTAGCTACTGTAGTTATTATCCTTATTAGAAGAAAGTGACAAAAAGGCAAGTGTAGGGTGTGTTGAGAATCTAGGAATTGGGGGGCAGGGTCGGGTCTGATTTAGAAGGGAGGGTCAGGGAAAGCCATGTGAGGAAGTGGAAACCTCAAGAGTGAACACAGAGAGAGCAGGAGAAGCATGGAAAGGGAAGCGGCCCAAGGCAGGCAAGAGTTGGTCGGATCTAGAAACTGAGCATAGCGAGGGAGGGTGTGCTGCAGTGTTGTGCAGGCGTCCAGCCAGGGGCACGATGCCCAGAGGCAGGGGCGAGCACGCTGAGTACGTGGGGGCCCTCAGTGCAGCGGCTGCAGAGCCTCGTGTATCTTCTGTCAGAGCACCTGGAGGCGGAGGGTGCTGGGACTGACTCTGCGGCCTCAGTTGTTCTCTGTGCCTGGGGCCTGACACTCAGATATCCAGCCTCCCAGAAAAGTAGTCCAGCTCAAGAGGTGCAGCCTTAGTGCAAAAATCCCTACCCTCTGAGGCTGCCCCGTAGGCCGCTGCCGTGCTCAGAACGTGGCTCCTGGAAGTGACCTGTTTGCTTGTCACACCTACATAAACAGAGTCCCTTTTCAAAAACCTGCAAAACCATGGCCCACAGGCCAAATGTGGCCTGCTGCCTGTTCTTGCACCGCCCGTGGGCTAAGAATGGTTTTTGTATTTCTCCAAGTTAAAAAAAAAAGAAAACAACAAAGACAGTCTGTGGCTCACAATGCGTAAAATATTTACTATTTGGCCCTTAACAGGAAAAGTTCCTACCCTTACAGCCCGCCAGAGCTGGAGCGGAATGCACTTGGGGCTGGCCCACGACAAGGGCATCGTGTTAGAGGAGCCCTCCCTTCCCACTAACGGTGGCTCTTTGATCTTCCAGGACAAATTCTTCAGAAAGACCAGGAAATCAAGGACCTTAAACAGAAGATAGCTGAAGTCATGGCCGTCATGCCCAGCATAACGTACAGTGCCGCCACCAGCCCCCTGAGCCCCGTTTCCCCCCACTACTCTTCCAAATTTGTGGAGACCAGCCCCTCTGGACTTGATCCCAATGCCTCTGTTTACCAGCCCCTGAAGAAATGAAGACCAGCTGCGGGTTTTGCCCAACCATTTGGTTACCAGAAGGCACCACAAAGGAACGTCTCTGGCAGTCAAGATAAAAAAAAAAAAAAAAAAAAAAGTTTATATTGTATTTTGTGGGACTGTATATGTTGTCGTTTTTAAAAAGGGGGGGAAGATAACATCCAAGTCTGATTAGAACTGCCCATCAGTTTTTCTTGTAAATTTTTAGACCTCACAGAACTTTGCAGTTTATTTTTCTCGGCCAATACATTAAAACCACTCTTGGATTTCAAGTAGCCAATTTTGCCTTTTATGTATTCTTACAGTTTCCTCTTGAAGAAAAAAAAAAAAGCAGGGTTTTTGCTTCTCAATCCTTTCTTTTGGTTTTGTTCTTAAATAAGCAAGCAAAACCTGCACATTGGATTCACATGGGATGCTAATGAAAACGTTTCCTTTCTAGAGGAGGGTTAATAACCTCACACAGCTTTGATTTTATAGCTGCATCACAGAAGATGATTCTTGATATTACAGAAAACAAAAGTTGATTACCCCTCCAAGGACCAAACAAATTCCGGGAGTGTCATTTAAGCCGAGGGGAGCAAGGTGATGAGACTAGCTGTGAGAGTGTCACCTGGGGTTGTGTCGGAAACATTCCTGTTCCCCTCGGGTGTGCAGTCCTAGAAAATTGCTAGCAGTGCCTTGGGAAAAGACATTTCAAGAGGAAACTTGCTGATTTTAAACTGTTTTCCCCCTTTACCATCATCTGTCTTCTGTCTGTGTCGAGCTCACTGCGGATCCTGCTGGAAACTGGTGGGTAGCGGGGCTCTTCGTGACCGTCGCTGCTCCAGCCCCTGTGCCCTTCCAGAGAAGGCACCAAGGCGTTCTGGACTCGTCCTGAGGCAAGCACCTCGGGGCGGGGAGCTGGGCAGTGTGTGTGTGCCAGAGACTGCGGTGACAGCTAATTAACAGGCTGCCGTTCTAAGTTCGGGGTTTGTTTGTTTTTTTAATTTCATTTCATTTAACTGTGCTTTCCTCTCTTCATCATCTTGTGTTTGATGATTTAAAAGAAACGACTATTCCTCAGCTCTCGTGCCAAGGAGGGTTTTTTTTTTTAAGAGTTTTAAACTCAAAACTCTGCACAAAGATTTCAGTATCAAGTGTACATCAGACACTTGGAGAAAAGTGTTTGGCAACTTTTGGAAGTGTTTAAGAATCAGGGTGGGGGGGGGCTGGGAGAGGGAGGGGCAAAGCAAAATTGTATTGGGAAACTAGGAAAATTAAGAAACCAAATAGATTGGTTTGACTTCCTTGCCATGGGTTCTGGAAGGACACAGTTCTTCTCAAATTTCCTGTTAATTGGCATGTGCGTCATATTTAAAGCAGATTAAGTAGGACAAGCAAGTCAGCAAAATAGAAGTTATTAAAAAGAATCATCCTTTTAATCACAGATCTTATTTTGGGGTTAAAAAAACTTCTAGCTTTAGCCAGGTGTGCATGTTGCTGCCATTTTGCATTTTTGAATCATCTTGTGTAATTGTTGCCATGGAAGTGTTACTCAGAATTGTCATAGGTTTTTTTCATCTTTGTGCAAAAACATGGAAAATTGTCCCTGACTTTGTGTTGAGGTTTCCCCCATTTTGCTGCCTTTGGGGACACTATTTCGTTAAACACGTGGTCTTGGCTGCATTCTTTTTTTTTTTTTTTCCTGTGGGGTTCAAAAGAATAAACATTTTCTTACAGATAAAACTAGTTTTATGCCTTTTTAAACTTTGCAGGAGGGACAACAAGGTAGATTGTTCTGAACGGGCCCTCGATGGTCGCTCTTGCTCTCTCCTCATCTCGGCACCCTGTTAGGGGGCAGTGCCCCATGTGGGGGGCAGAAACAGGATTTGGGATGAATCCATGCAGGGTCTCAAGTTGTTTTTAGTTCTAGTCCAACTTAAGACATATGCATTCTCATTCTGTCTCCCTCATGCTTCCCTCTCTTCCCCTCCCTCCCTCCATCTTTCTCTCCCTTCCCCCCCCCCCACTTTCTTTCTCCCTCACATATGGTTAGAACCACGGCTGACTTGTTTTCTGGTACAACCCTCCTTTCCTGAAAAAGCAAGTTAGGGGTGGGGTTGGAAGGTAGTTGGCAAGAAAATCTTTTGAGAGCAAATTTCCTTCCCATTTTCCAGAATCTTTTGGGGCCACTTGGTGACCAGGAGCCTGTTGGGTTTCCTATCTGCTCTAGATCCTGAACTGACCTCCAAGATAGCCACTTACAAGTCCTCCTGTGTTTCTGGAGGCTTTGTCTGTTTTACATCTTCTGAGAAGCAGCTGCCTCTCTTGGTCCTTGCTTTCCTCTCTTGGCCATTGTTAGAATTGATCTTGGCTCCGGTTTTGGAAAATTCTGCTCTTGGCACCTCACCCTCTGTCCCTGTTGCTGGATAGCCCTAGTCTCAGCCACTTTGGCTCAGCCACTTTGGCTCTCGCAGACACGCCACACTTAATACCATGAGCAGAGCCCCCTCCCCCCCCACCCCCCACCCGGGGGAAGCACCTTGGCTTGGCTTTTGCCTTCACCTTCCCCGGAGGAATGTGTCTGCCCACAGCATTCTCACTGGCACGTTCTTTTCCCCCAGAAAATCTCCTGTTGTTGTCTTTCTTGTTTTAGGTCCATGACGAAGGGGTTCCACTTCTTAGTACACTAGAATTTATGACCTGCCATAAAGCCGTGTTTGCCATTCTGTATGGTTAAATATTGACAGAAGGAGCGGGCTGAGTGTGTTTTCACTGGCTGAGTAACCTCTCTTTATTGACATCCCCCAACTTGACAAGGAAGTAGCTGTCATGTGTCCATTCTCTGTGATAATCTTTCCTATAAAGTGAGAATGAACAATGCCTCCGGGCTCTGGGCCTGAAGGAAGGGACTAGTCCTCTCTCCTCCCATCGCAGCTCGCGTGCTCACCTGGCTCTGTTCAGGGGGGTGATGCCAGCCACCCGGGAGGGCCGAACCTTCTCAAGGCAGCTATCAGATGGCTTCTTGCGAAATTCACATCACACTAGATGGAGCCGAAGAGGGACACCGGAAGCCTACCCAGAAGCCAATTCAGTGAAGCCCATCTAGTAAAGTGTTGTCAGGCGGGCCGGGCTGTGACGGCTAGAGGCAGCCAGGTAAGTGCCGGCCTTGTTTCTCTCAGTGCCTACCCCTCTGAGCGGGCTTCCTCACGGGCCTGCGGCGCTTGCCCAGGGGCACCCAGCTCTAAGGGCTCCGGCCCACCCCGAAGCCTGGTGGCTTAGGCAAGCCCTCTAGACACAGATGGGAGTCTGCTCCCAGCTTTGCAGCCACCAGCTCCATGACCTCCCTTAACCTCTCTGGGGGGTGTGGTTTCCTCACCTTCAAGGAGCCTTGTTCCTTGCTGCCCTGCCTCCTGGAAGGAGTTGCTATGAGAACTAGGTGAGCTGACACAAAAGAGTGTTCTGCAAACTATCCAGGACCTCCCAGATGCAAGTCCAGAACTGTAGCAAGGAGTCTTGGAGGGGCAGGGACCTGGCTGAATTCCCGTTCCTGGGGCTAGCTCCCTGCCCCACAGCCTGACTCCCCTGAAAGCTCTCCCCAGCATGCCCCCCATCGGAATCTGCATTTTAACAGGATCCCCAGAGGATTCCCTTGCTTTGCAGTGTTAATTGCTTAGAAGCCCCATCCTGAGCTGACTTTCCTAACCTGAAGATTAAACACTGTCACTCTCTCTCTTCTAGATCAGAAAGAGCCAACGCTCAGACTTTGAAAATTCAGAGTTAAGAGCTTGGTAGAGGGTGGAGGGGCAAACTGGAGATGAAGAGCCCTAAGCTTTATACATTTTGCTTATTTTGTTTATTATCCCCCTCCCCCATTGGAGTGCAAGCTCTGTGAGGGCAGGGGTGTCTGTTTACTGCTGGAACCCTCGAACCCAGGGCAGTGACTGCTACATAATAGGTGCTCAGGAAACATTTACTAAGTGAATAAGGTTACTAGGTTAGACGTGTAATCTGAACTCCTGTGTCTTAACAGAGCGCCTCTGAAACAGTGCTGTTAGAATGACTACACAGAACTGTTTCTAGAAGGAGATGGGAAAATTTGAAGTGGCATATTTACCATGACATCTTCCATCTGCCTGTCTCTGGTTTCTGCCAAAACCTTGTTTCCTTGTCAGATTTTCTCTACAAACGCCTGCTTGATTTAGCCAGGTGCAAAGATTTCCTAAACAGCTGGATGCACGGAGAACACTCACTTCTCTGTCAGGGAAACCTCACCGCAGGGAACCTGCTGGGCCCATCCATCCATCCATCACCCAGTTGGAGTCTTAGACCCTATTTCCTCAAGTGCTGGCCCCACTGCATCTTGAGTCAGTGTGGGGATTTTTCATTTTGACAGTGATCGAATTATAAAGCATTTCCTCCAGGAAGGTTAAATGAATGTCTCGAAGATCTCCTTCTGTCTGACTACAGAGGCCACACTTCTCTTCTTGCCTCCCTCCTTCCTTGGGCTTACTCTGTTCCTGCTTTATTTCTGTCTCAGTGCTTGCTTTTCACTCGTCTGCCTTTGCCCAAGGTTCAAATCTTACATCCCCCGCAGGATGGGCTTCACAGGGTTCTGGAATCACCCTGCCAGTGTACCTCTGATTTTTGTCCGAAGAATCCCAGGCATAGCTTCACACAATGTGCTGTGGCCTTTGAAGCCCCACCCAAGAAGCCTGACGGGTTTGTTTACCCGGCCTACCCCTCTTCCCTAGCTCTGCAGTGCCAGGAGCCTGAGGGTCGAGCGGGAGGCCAGACAGCGTGCCAGTGACCTTTATGAGATGCGTCTCGCCTCCCTCTTGTCCTGGGAGGCCTGGCTGTTGTGACATGCTACCTGGGACCAGACCCGAGCTTACCTAGAACAATGGTTCTCAAACTTCAGGGTTCATCAGAACCACCGGAATGGCTTGTTAAAACCCAAATTGCCGGGTCCCGCCCCCAGTGGTTCTGATTCAGGAAGTCTAGGATGGCGCCCGGGAAAATGTGTTTCTTACAAGTTCCCAAGTGAGGCTGGGTCCTGGGACCCCACTCTGGGAACCACTGCCCTGGGCCCAGCCCGGCCTGAAGCCATCCCCTCCAGCTGCCACCAGAGGGCACCTGCGGCCTTAGCCAGGGGTCCTTTCTCACCTCTGGCGGCCGCACCGCTGCACAGCAGAAGTTCTCCGCTAAAGATGTCTTTCTAATTGTAATCTTCGTTGTTATGTATTAGGAGGAAGAAATGTTGATCCAAAAAAGGAGGTAGGTTTTCAAAATCTGT